GTATATGATTCTTATCAATCTATTTAATTCATTGATGATTGAACCATTTACAAAAAGAATAATTATATAAAACCTTATATAAATATTTTTAAGGTATATGATTCTTATCAATCTATTTAATTCATTGATGATTGAACCATTTACAAAAAGAATAATTATATAAAACCTTAAAAGCATAAAGTCAAGTGAAATCTGAAAATAAAAGTTCATTAATAAAATGAGTGCTGCCAAGGCAAAACCTGTAAGCAAATATTTGAGGCATCAATAAGGCAAGTTTAATTCTGGGAAAATTGTGATATTACGCATTAAATAATTGTATACAATTATTTAATACGTAATATTTTCACAGGAATAAACTCGTCTTATTGATACCTCATATATTTGCTTACAGGTTTTGCCTTGGCAGCACTCAAATTCAAATCGGAAAAATTAAAGCCCATTCTGAAACCAATAAAAACGGCGATAACGTGTAATAATAGTATATAATAGTATACTATAATTGTGGCTCTAACATATGAAATCTGTTAAAGCGTGAGATCTTTGGATTATCAAAGTTCACATGGTTGTTTTCGCTTACATAAAAGGTCTACGAAATTATCAATAATATGTATTAAGCGCTCAAAATACTTCGAATGACTTTCTATAAAGATACGTAATCTGATTGTTTATTCTACGGTGAGAAAGCAAAATAATATTCAAAAAATATTTTTTGAACGCCTTCAAAGCTACTGGATTAAATGAAAATAACGAAAATATCTGGCTGCAAGACAATCATGCTTATGAACATGAATTAATAACTAACTCTTTCTGGAAGTTTAACTTGATTTAGATATAGTATTGCTAACCTGATTGTAGAAGAAATCTATTAGAGATCAAATCAAATCATTAAACTTAAAAAATTGTCCGTTATAAAAAAAAATAAAAATAAACGAATAGTAAAAAAAAAGTTTATAATTGTTCATATTAAATTCATAAGTTATTTAAGAGACGTGTAGGCTGATTGTAGAATGAGCCAGTCTGGTGATTTGTCACATGTTCGCATTAGAAGAGAAAACTTTCTGCCGGTTTATTTGATAATATTTTTAATAAATCAAAAATTGTTTTCTAAAATTCGCAAAGAACACCGAGAATATCAAATTTAAACATTGTGTATGACAAGATCATTAGCTTCAATTCATGTATAGAATGCTAGTTTAAATTATATTTGATTGGTTGATCTTAATGAGTGTGGGCGTCACTTCAATAACCGCTTGATTTAAGGAAAATTTACAAGTCACGATGGCGTAGAATATTACGAAGCAATTTTCCCCCATACAATAAAGAAAATAAAATCTGGACTAATCTTTTCCTTTATACAGCATTATAAAGAAAAAAACAAAAAAAAACAGGATAGAATCATCAAAAACTATACGTATCATATTAACGCCGATCATTAACCACATTAGTAAAATTGAATAAATTCATTATCGTTATATCCAGATTTGGTGTTTATCCTGGATAGTGTTACAGGAGCGACCGTTGATGTTACACGACTGGTTTTTCACGCGGTGTGAAACACATAAAAAAATTATTTTACAATACTTGATCGGACTTGATCAGTCAGTTAGTACATGTTATGATTATAATCCCACACCATTTTTTATTATAAAAAAATGGTGTGGGATTATAATCATAACATGTACTAACTGACTGATCAAGTCCGATCAAGTATTGTAAAATAATTTTTTTATGTGTTTCACACCGCGTGAAAAACCAGTCGTGTAACATCGACGGTCGCTCCTGTAGGATAGTGTGTTACGTTTACTAGTCTAAATATGATGCGCAGTCATATGATGCTGGATTTCTTTTCTCGTACTGCACGTACGTACTGTACGTACGTACGTACGTATAATACACAATCATCAATTTGGTTGAATACTAAGGAATATATTTTTTTGCAATGATGTAATGATTTGTCAATGCATTTGCATGACAATTGATAAACTTTTTCTATTAAATCATTGCATACTTCACAGACAAAGATTGGTTTTATATGGAATATGGCTACAGAAACGGGATTCAGTACGCCTTTTGGAGGTGTATCAGTTGATTTTGGAAGTTTGTTTAAATAGTATGTTTTTATTATTTTTGGTTTTATTATTATTTTTTTTTTTACATATATTAGTTTATTTTGTTGTTGTAAATATGTCTTTTTTAAATGAGATTATTTTTATTTACTCTGAATAAACCGGTTAATTGCTTTTTTACACATAAATAAGATAATTGAGACTTTAGAATTTTTCTTACATATGTTACTTGACAAGTGAGGCATTTATCCTCAACTAATACTCAACTTGTAAAATTTGCTTTTGTTTTTAATTTGGCAAAATGAATTCGTATTTATCTACTAGTCAAATTTAACAGTTTTATCGTAATGACTAACTAAACAATGTAATAGTTAGTGTAATTACTTTATCAGATTCCAAAAACTAGGTTTTAATTTTGTCTATGTTACTGTATCTAAGATTTTAATCTTATCCGACCAATAATTAATTTGTTCTTTAATTTTGTTTATATCGTCTGACCTTTTTTATTTTATCAAGCCAATAATTAATTTGTCTTTTAATTTCGTTTACATCATATGAACATTTCATTTTATCAAGCCAATAATTAATTTCATGTTTTTTTTTAATTTCGTTTATGTTATCTGAAACTTTTATTTTATCAAGCCAACTTTAATTTAAGCTTTATATTTCGTTTACGTTATCTGAAATTTTTATTTTATCAATCTGATTACTAATTTTTTTTAAATTTCGTCTGCATAATCTAAATTATTCAAGCCAATATATAAGTCGTTTGTTTACATTATCAGAACTTTTACTACATCAAGCCAACGTTTAATTTTATGCTTTATGATTTGGTATATGTGATCTGGACCTTTTATATCATCGAGCTCATCATTAGTTGTTTTATTGAATATTTCAAGAAGGATACGAAAAATTCGAATCTCTATCGATAGACAAATTAGCGTCTTATCTATTTTTCAAATTTCATTACAGTCAACGAATATTCAGAAAAAAACCTGAAATGAAGTGATCAACTGCATGAAGAGAAGAACGCACAGAAAACAAATCTGATGGTTAAGCTATTATAATGTCGAAATACAAGTTTATTTCTATTACTCTATGCATTAGATATGTGTTGTAAACTGCTTTATATAATCGTTATAATTGAAAAATAAAGTCTTAGTAAAGTTAGTAAAAATTTGAAGGCATTTTCCGGACATTATCCGGACTATCATCCGAACCCAACCTGGTACACATTCTCTGGGTGCGTTTTTTAATTTCGCCTACGTCCTCTGAATTATTCATTTCATCAAGTCCTTCATTAATTTGTTTTTTAACATCGCCTACGTCCTCTGAATTGTTCATTTTCATAATGTCAATATTTAAGTTGTTTTATAATTTCTTCTACGTTATCTGAAACTTCTACTTTATCATGCCAATGACCGATTTCGCGTTTTTTTTTTTAATTTCGTCTACGTCAGATGATTTCCCTATAAAATATACCAGAATACGTACTAGAACACTAGAATGCTTGAATACTAGAGCACTAAAATGTGAAATACTAAAATGCTAAAATATTGAAATGTTAAAACACTAATAAACTAAATACAGTACTAATACATTTAAACACTAAAACAAACATGTCGCTTTGTGCACACCGTACACGTGGTTGCCTAAAGTTGAGTAGACTTCATGTTAGTCTGCGACAATACCGTTATCATTATGTTATCAAATTGCGCATCACGTTACCAGCTTGGCTAACTAATAAATATGACAATTAATAAAATTAGGTAAATTTACAACAATAATAAGGATTTCTAATTGTGGCTAGGTTGTTAACCTACATATAAGTTACATGTATTTTACTGATGTAAATTTTATTGTAATTTACATAAACTGCTTGTAAGTTATATAAGCTCAAAATAAATCCTAGAAATGAAATTATGAAATTTGACCTGATGTTAATGCCGGTAGAAATTGTCACATGATTTGGCCAGCCTTAATACCTATATTATAACTTACATAACTGATAAGGGCCATGTACGTACTGTACGTACGTACTGTACGTAAATACGGTGACAGTAACTTACCATGTAAAGTTAGTTTTAACAACCCTAATTGTGACAAAACTGCTTAAGCAGGTTTTTTGCGTCACTCATTAAATTGCAGATCTTGTAATACCATATAAAGGGGTGAGGTAATTTTTACGCACAATAATTTTAGCGGTTAAAATCAGTGAATGACTTTATCGTTATTGTCTTTAGATAGATATAGTCATGATCAAGAGGTAACAACCAGTCTTCCAGTCTCCTCTAAAGCTCTCTCTAACACTTTCTTTCTATAGACTACTTAAACGATTTGTCACACCATATGTGAGCGGCTTACCTCTAAAAATTTTGGTACTCTTACTTGAATATGTACCGGGACTATCAAGTTACTTTTTCGGAATTAGTGTCTTGAGAAATAGATCTTTCAAAGAGGACATGACTATTATGCCATTACCTTTACCAAAAGAAGTGTTTGGTATCGAAGAACCTATGGTATTTGATCACTGACTTGCAATACTTTTTAAAAGTAATAAAAACAAAATAAATATAATATTATTTTTTATTAATAACAGAAAATCGACGGGTTAGAAATTTTCGACCAGAATAATAAATATCTAGAAAATCAATTATTTTTATGCACACGTGACTTTACTAAAGCATACTTAGCCAAAAGAGTTACTCCTATACAAGTAATTAACTAACGCTAATACAATATTCGTTTTAATCATAATATAATTTTTTTCAATAACTTGTTGCATAATTCAAATGAATTATAAAAAAAGGTATGCGAAAAATTAATTGACAAAATAAATCTATCATGTTCTAAAGCATGTAACCCACCTCTTTATGGTAAGCTTGAAGTATGGATTATGATTTTATATTTAAAATATCTAATTTCAAAATTAATATGTAATGATACGATGATTTAGGTATGTATCAATGGCACCAAGATGATATTATGGCTCAAGCTAAAGCTTCGACTACCCGATATAGTCAGAACCGATCTTTGGGACCCCTTGATGGTGTCCCTGTAGCAATTAAAGATGAGCTTGATGTTTCAGGTTATGAGACACATGTAGGAACTTCATTTCTTAATCGAGGAAATCATGCCTCAAGAGATGCATTTTTGGTAAAAAAATTAAGAGATCAAGGTGCCATCATAATCGGAAAAACAAATATGCACGAAATTGGGTTTGGGTATGTTTATTGAAATTAATACTAAACTTTTTTTTTTTGTATATCATTCAATAACAATTATAATATCTTTTTTTTTTAAAAAAAAGTAATACAACTAATAATCCGAATACGCATACAACTCGTAATCCTTACAATCCTGACCATTATTGCGGTGGGTCAAGTGGAGGTAGCGCATGTGTTGTTTCCAGGTTATTAAAAAAATTGTTATCCAGTCTTTTCAGTCTTTTCTTAATATTTATTATTTGTTGAGATTAACATGAATATATTTATTCGATAGTGGTTTATGTCCAATCGCCATAGGCTGTGATGGTGATGGTTCTATAAGGTAATTATTATTTATTCGTTGGTTAAATCTGAAAATCGAATAAAGAACTATATTGTGTATGGATTCTTGTTTAGAATACCATCCTCTTTTTGTGGAATCTATGGATTAAAGCCTACATGTGGAAGGGTTTCTTCAACAGGAGAATGTAAGTATTGTAAATGATTTCTTAGTAAATATTTATATACGGCACAATACACATTTATTATTATTTTTCAAATTTATAAAACAATATTCTAACAATCATTTTTGTCTTATACAGTTTCACTTTGCAGTTCCGTAGGTAAGGATAGGAACATTTATTATGATCACTATTGATAAGGATTCAATTGTAAAAAAGAAAACTAATTTAAACACAACTATACTTAGGTGTTGCAGGTCCTATGGCTGCTTGCGTTGATGATTTAGCATTAGCTTATTATGTTATGGCTGGAAAAGATCATGAGGTTTGTGATTTGATAGCTTAAAATTTTAACCATTTAATAACTACATTTAAGTTTTTAATTTTTTCATCACTAGGATCCAAAAACTTTGTTCCAACCATCACCCACACTCAATGGTATTTTTCGTACTAATACATTATCAGATCTTAAAATTGGCATATTTTCAGCATGGAATAAACAAGTGGCCGACCCTCTTATTACTTTTGCACTTAAAACATTCATTAATGAATTCAAACTTCGCGGTGCTGAATTTATTGAAATTGATATTCCGGAATTAAAAGATGCTCAAATAGCTCATATAATTACTATCACTTCTGAATTCTGTTCCACTCTGAATGGATACAAAAAATATTTAAAATCATTAAGTTATCCTAATAGGATGAACATCGCGAGATACAATAATGCGAATGCTTCAGATTACATTAAAGCACAGCATATTCGTACACGTATTATGCGTAATGTCTCTGTCATATTCTCCGGAGTTAATCTTATTTTAACACCTACATGTGCCATAACTGCACCTGCAATTTATCCACGAGCCTTAAAATATGGCGAAGTAAATCCTTCAGTAACTTATAATGGAGTAATGTATACACAATTGGCCAATTTTATTGGCATTCCTGCCATTACAGTACCCGCTGGTTATAATGACAAGAATCTTCCTATTGGATTACAATTTATGGCAAAATGGTATGATGAAGCAACTTTATTAAGAGTTGCGAAAGTCTCTGAGGAAATATTAGGAAGTAAAAAACGAAAACCTTCTGAAAAATATTGGTTTGGTGATTTATTGTGAAATTTCTTTTAATTAGGAAATTATGCATATATAATTTTGTTGAAATATTTATCTCATGATTATTATGTACTTATAATTGATGTTTTTAGGATTTTAAAAATTAATAATTTCCCAACATTGCATCACTTTATCATGTGAAGATTACTGTATTTAATCATTATTATTAAATAAACATGCTTATTATAACTTTTTAACGCAATCCAGAACCTTCTTCCTTTTCGTCCAGATTTTACATATAACAAGATATATTAAATTGCCAAGGCACTTCACTGTACATATACCGTATTTTACCGAAAATAAGCGCCCTTTTTTTGCACGAATGTTGGCCAAAGTAGTTATAATTCAGGCCAAATTTTGTATAATGCAGGCCAGGGGTGCTTATTTTCGGGGGTGCTTATTATCGGTAAAATATGGTACATAAAAATTCTCTTAATATGTTTTGAACTGCATTATTAAAAGAAAAAAAAATAGCATATTTGTCATACCGTATTACCGCGTAATAACGCGCAGGGGTGAAATTATGAATTTCGGCCCGAATTAAGCTTAATTCTGGCCGAACCTCGAAATAACGCTCATGAGCGTTATTACGCGAAAATACGGTATAACAATTTTTTACTGATAAAAAAAATTTTTATAAATAAAAATGTCCTCTAAGATAACTATTTATTACTATATAAAATTGGCTTAATATAAAATTTTTAGATCAAAAAAAAAATTCTATAAAATTCAAAAAAATATTGCCACGTGTCAAACTTTTTTTATAGAATTGTATAGTTTTAAGATACTTTAATATGATATTTAATAGAGTAGTTAAGTTCAAAATTTTTAAATAATTTAGTTTAAAAGGTGTAGTAAATATACTAAATCCAGTACAGGTAAATCCCATCCATTAATATACGTATTATATATTAGAGTGATAATACATGCTATATATATCGGTACTGCTCACTTCACCGACAATCATTTCACCGAAAGTTCACTTAGCCGACATCACATAGGGTTAGGATTAGTGTTTTATTAGTTGCAAGTTTATATTTTTAGTAAATTGTCACTTGGTGTGATGTCGGCTAAGTGAGCTGTCGGTGAAATGATTGTCGGTGAAGTAAGGCGGATCCATATATATCTATATAATAAACCAAGTAATAAGCATTATTGAAAATCTAAATCCGAAATTTCATCGATTGGTGCTGTATCTAAAAATGTTAAAAATTATTAGATTAATATTATTTTGTTAAGATTTAAATCGCATTAAAAATAATATAAATTTATTTACTTTCTATTAAGTTTCAATTATTCAATTTATCAGTTTATAATAAAGATATAAAGATAATTAAGTTATAATATTAATTTCTAAACAAATACGTATAAGATAATATTTACCAAAATTGGTTGATTGACATTCGCTGTAATTGGTTGATTGACATTTATTATAATTCGTTAATTGGCTTTCATAGACTTCATCAAAAGAATCAAATTTACTATTTATTAGTCTTATATTTTCATCTGATTTAGAAAGTTCCAATAAAATGCTTTTGTTATTTTGCCATTCTTCAAAAATTTTACAAATTTCTACTGCTGATGGTCGATTTTCTGGTTCATTTTCCCAACATCTTTTTATAAAACTTACGTAGCATGATTCTATATTGTTAAAAATTGGTGGTCGTAAATTATTAAAGATTACTTTTGTTGGTATATCTTGCATTGATCTAAACATTTTATTATAAATAGTCGTTATGGATATTCCAAATAAAATTTCCCACATAATTATACCAAATGAATATATATCAGATGCTATAGTGTACTGTTTTTTATTCAAAACTTCTGGTGCAATATACGGAATTACTCCATAAACTCTATTAGATTTTGATTTTATATCGGCTGTTATTGAAAGTCCTAAATCTGCAATATATGCACCACATAAGTCATGTTGTAATATATTCCCACAGTGTAAATCCCGGTGAATAATGTTTTGTGAATGAATTATTTTGAGGTCAGAGGCAATGCAAAGTAACAAATTGATTTTATCTTTCCATTTCATTAGCGATACGGATTTAAGGTTTTTAAGTAAAGAACCCATCTTCGCATATTCCATAACAAGGATATAATCTTTAGAAGTAATATCTTTTGATATGCCCAAACATTTTAAAAAAGTTGGATTTTTAAGACCAATATCACAGTATGCCTTCAGCTATTTTTAAAAAAGATATAAATTAAATTATTGTCGCGAGTCATACTGAAATCGGGTTAAAATGAAATTAGTGTTTCTATTTGACCCTCTGAAACCCACTTATGCTGGTTTATTATAACTTTACACTAAAACTAGCCTTTAACTCTAACCCTTAACACTAAAAACTGCACCACAAAATTTTATTTTTCGGTTGCTTTTTTAAAATGTGCAATATTTCATTTTAATCTGTCACAGTTATTAATATAATAAAATTACCTCTTTTATAAACTCTTCCTGGCAACTGTTTGATTCATGAAGTAATTTAAGTGCGACAGTCTCCGATGTATTTCGATTTCGATCAAACCAATTGGCGTAATATACAGTTGCAAATCCACCTTTTCCTAGCTCTTTAATATTTTCAAATTCATCATAAGGAATCCATGACAATTTATAGTTATTTTCAGTCAAAATTCTTCTCAAATAATTATCAATATCAGAAGTTTGATATATCCATTCAGCTGAATCTAAATAATCAATTAGAATTTAGTTTATTTAGATTTTTGAACTACTTCAATTATCGGGTTTTCGAAATGGTTGAAAATGGGGAAAAAAATTTTTCGAGTATACCCGTATACTCGTATACCGGATTACCTTAGCACATCATTTGATGATCGAGCTTGATTCACTTATTGTTTCAAGCAATTAGTACATATGTAATCAAACATCGATATTAAATCAACGTGCTAAGGTAATCCGGTATATGTGTATACAGGTATATATATTTTACTCATTTATACCATTCGAAAACCGCGATAAATAAATAACAATAAAGTTACCTGAAGTTAGATCTTTCTCTCTATTAATAATTCAAACATATAAATCTATAATCACTTGCGATGAAAAAAAAACCAAATTTAAAACTTTGCTTATTTACCTTTGTAACCAATAATTGGCTTTCTCCAGGTCTCTTGCTACCCCAAACCCATTACGATAACAATAACCAACTTGAGACATTCCAGCCAATATCCCCATATCTGCAGCTTTCTGATAATAAATAAATCCTTTATTTTCATCTTTTTTCACTCCGATTCCATAAGAATAAAAATTGCCAAGATTAAATATACCATAAGTATCACCCATCTCAGCAGATTTTTGATAGTTAACGAATGCCATATTTTCGTCCTTTTCAACTCCAATTCCATTAGCATAACAATGTCCAACATTATATGTTCCAACAGCGTCACCCATCTCTGCAGATTTTTGATAATAAATGAATGCCTTATGTTCATCCTTTTCAGTCCCAATTCCACCTTGATAACAATTACCAAGTTTAAATGTTCCATTAGCATTTTTCATATTAGCGGATTTTTGATAATAAATGAATGCCTTATTCTCATCTTTCTCAACTCCAATTCCGGTTTGATAACAATCTCCCACATAATTCATCCCCTCAGCAAGTCCCATATCAGCAGATTTTTGAAAATAAATAAATGCTTTATGTTCATCTTTTTCAATTCCAACTCCATTATAATAACAATATCCAACACCGTATATTCCATAAGCATCTCCCATCTCAGCAGATTTTTGATAATATATAAATGCTTTATGCTCATCCTTTGCAGTTCCAGTTCCAGATTGATAACAGCTTCCAACTAAATTGATTCCGTTGACATTTCCCATCTCAGCAGATCTTTGATAATATATAAATGCCTTGTGTTCATCCTTTTCAACTCCAGTTCCAGTTAGATAGAAATTGCCAAGATAAAGGCATATTAATCCGTTATTATCTCCCATCTCAGCAAATAGTTGAAAATAATCAATTGCCTTACGTTCGTCTTTTTCAACTCCAATTCCACAATAATAACAAAATCCAAGATTAAATATTCCTTCAATGTTTCCCATTTCAGCAGATTTTTGATAATAAGAAAATGCCTTATTTTCATCTTTTTCGGCCCCAATTCCTTTATCGTAACAACATCCAAGAAAATAAGTTCCATCAGCACTACCCATCTCAGCAGATTTTTGATAGTAAATGAATGCCTTATTTTCATCCTTTTCAACTCCAATACCTTCTTGATAGTATTGTCCAAGATTAAATATTCCACTGGCATGCCCCATATCAGCAGACTTTTGAAAATAATTAAATGCCTTATGTTCATCCTTTTCAACTCCAATTCCGTTTCTATAACAATATCCAACATTATACGTTCCATCAGTATCTCCCAGTGCAGCAGATTTTTGATAATAGACAAATGCCATATGCTCATTTTTTTCAGTTCCTATTCCATTTAAATAACAATGTCCAACTTGGTTTATTGAGAATAAATCTCCCTTCTCAGCAATTACTCGATAATAAATGAATGCATCCTGTTCATCCATTTTAAATTCACTTTCATTTATATAATCACTAAGATTAAAAGTTTTGCCAGAATTTCCCACCTTAGCAAATATTCGTGAATATATTAATGCTAGATCTTTATCCTTTTCAATTCCAATTCCTTTTTCATAACAAATAGCTATGTTATATATTCCAGAAGCATGCCCCATTTCAGCAGATTTTTGATAATAAATGAAGGCCTTATTTTCATCCTTTTCAGCTCCAATTCCTTTTTCATAACAAACACCTGTATTGTATATTCCAGCAGCATGTCCCATTTCAGCAGATTTGTGATAATAAAAGAATGCCTTATTTTCATCCTTTTCAACTCCGAATCCATTTTTATAACAGTTACCAAGTGCAAATATCCCATCAGATTCACCCATCTCAGCGGATTTTTGATAATAAATGAATGCCTTATGTTCATCTTTTTCAACTCCAATTCCGTTTCGATAG